CGTCGATGAGAGAGAAACATCGACCAGTTGCCTCTTGCACACCCCCTACAGGGGATGTGCCCGCAACCAAGGTACATGCCCTTGACCAGAATCGAACCCGGGGCCTTTCAGTCTGCAGACCGACGCTCTACCATTGAGCCAAACCGGTTTCGGCTGGCATTCAACTTGATACTGAATTCAAAACCATGTTTATATGTTTTTGGTCTGAGGCTGTCCTACAGGTGCTTTGGGGTCTCCCAGGAGGTGCACTGCTTGTTCCCTGCCTGGGGCCAACCAGCACAAGTTACAGAGTGATCTGCAGACAGCTGCCACTGTGTTGGGTTTGGAGGTGTCCAGGATAGGCCAAGCAGTGAACCCAGGCAGGCTGCTGCTCATGGTGGGCCTGGGGCTGCTTATCAAGAGTATAGAGCACGCTGAATCCAGCTGCTACATGTTTGAGAGATTTTAAGAAAATCTGAAGCCTGAGGCAGGATAGGCCATTCATAAGGAAAAGCTGCTGCAAGCAGCTTGGGTGGGGCTGCAAATTGGGTGGAGTAAGGTCTCAAGGAATCACCAGGTCAGGAAATCACCAGTTGATGGAGACTCAGATATAGAACCTGCCAGTCAGCTCTGCAGCTGAGGAGATTTCAGCATAGGAACAATGACCTCTGGGAACACTTTTGTCTGGGAGATAACTATCCCCAAGTTCTTGACCTGATGCCAGACAATTTAATTCCTCCCTGTATGTCCCTGGATCCTTTCAAGCTGCTGCCCCAGTGCTGGAGCTCAGGAGTGAGCCTGAGTAAGCCCAGTCTGCACCTCTCCTCCTCCTAACAGTCTCACAATCTCAGTGTGCTTTCTTCTTTGATTCTCTAGTTATAGTACTTCCATCAGCCAGATTTCAGGCAATTCTGACTGATGGTTATTCTATATTTTAGTTGTAATTTTGATGTGGTTATGGGAGGATGCGAGTACTACATTTACCTACATCACCATCTTCGCATTTCTACTTTTTTAATAGGATATCTCATAGTTTTTCCTACATTCCACATGCAGCAGAGAATCAGACACTTAAAAGCTTAGGCCAATGTAGTTGATTAGCTTTAGAACAAAATGTTTCAGGAAAGAGGCACAAATAGTAGCACAAGGCCTAAACCATGCAAGGGAGTGACCTAGAGCACACTGTGTGATCAACAGTAGATGTTCAGCAAATATGAATAAAGGATGGCTGATTGATTAAACAATATGCTATGGGAACACAGACTTTCACATTCTCCTATGCTGCCTGCAACTCTCTGCTAGGTATGATTAGCATCTTTTCTTAATCTGACATGCAACTCTGTATGCCAGAATAAAAGGACAAAGTTGTATCTTCAGATTCTGGCCTATCATATGTGTTTTTTTTTTCTTTGACAAATATTATTGAATGATTCCTACATATATGTTATCAAGTTAGGACACACTGGTGAATAAGAATGATAAGATTATGCCAAAACCGGTTTGGCTCAGTGGATAGAGCGTTGGTCTGCGGACTGAAAGGTCCCAGGTTCGATTCCGGTCAAGGGCATGTACATTGGTTGTGGGCACATCTCCAGTAGGGGGTGTGCAAGAGGCAGCTGATCAATGTTTCTCTCTCATCGACTTTTCTAGCTCTCTCTCTCTTTCCCTTCCTCTCTGTAAAAAATCAATAAAATATATATTTAAAAAAAAGATTGATAAGATTATGACATTCAGTGATAAGAGGTGAGGGGATTGGCAAATAAATTGATAATTAGCATGCAGTAGGTAAATGCTATAACAGGGAATGTACAATGTGCAAAGGGAACATATAGGAAGCGTACCTGGGGGTGGGGTAGAACAAAATATTTTTTTGTGTGTGTGGAAGAAGATATTTTCTTTTTAGTGTTTTATAAATTTTTTTGTATTTTTATATTGTTATTCAGATATGCAATATAGTGAGTCATATTTACATATTTACCTTACAACGTGACCCCAACTCACTAAGTCTAGTACTCATCTGTCACCATGAAAAATTTTCACATTATTGACTATATTCTCCTTTACCTTTTTTACCCATCCTAGTTTCCTTCCCTTGTCTCTGGCAACCATCAGTTTGATCTCTGTTTCTGTGAGTGAACTCGTGCATTGGTGGGATCTAGTCGGCCCGCCCCCAATGGGGGCTTTCGGGGACAGGGTGGAAAGAGTGAGGGGCCACAGGCGTTCCACTGTTCATTCAATTTGCATATAGTATTACCCTTTTATTATATAGGATATCTCACATCGTTTTAAAAAATATATTTTATAAATTTTTAAAAAAATATATTTTATTGATTTTTTACAGAGAGGAAGGGAGATGGAGAGAGAGTTAGAAACATTGATGATAGAGAATCATTGATCAGCTGCCTCTTGCACACCCCCCTACTGGGGATGTGCCCGCAACCAAGTTACATACCCTTGACCGGAATTGAACCTGGGACCTTTCAGTCCGCAGACCGACGCTCTATCCACTGAGCCAAACTGGCTTCAGCTCACATCTTTTTTTATCCATTCATCTATCTATGGGCACCTAGGTTGCTCCCATATCTTGTCTATCTATAATAATAAAAGAAAAATATGCTAATTAGATTGGACATCCTTCTGGACAACCTTCTGGACAAAGCCAGGGCTATGAGGGAAGCCTGAGTTCTGGGTGCCAGAGAGAAGCCAGACCTGGCAGCTGGGGGAAGATCTACTCTTGCATGAATTCCGTGCATCAGGCCTCTAGTTATAGTGCTGTGACAAAAAATTTATTGAATGAAGGTACTTATGAGTTTAGTCAAGATATAAGAAGGGGGTAGAAAGGAGATTAGGAGAAGCGACTAGAGATAAGACTGAAAAAAATAAAATGGGGTCAGATATTCAGCAATTTGGATTTGTCTTAAGAACAGGAGATGCTGAAGGGTTTTAAGTACAGAAAAACCTAAGGATCATTCTCAAATTATGCCTTGGGAAGAGGCTATTTGGGTTTATTACTGGAAACTAATTTTCTTAGAAAGGTTGATATGATGGGGTTATACCTCCCCGGCTTGTGTAAGTGTTCTCCATATCTGGAACATCCTTTTTCTCTACATACCTTTCTAATTTTTCCTCAAGGCTTAGTTTATATTTTATGGCTTCTATGCTTTCTAAATATCCCTGATAAAGTTAAGAGTCAGGTTGCAGAGGAACTTTTTTTTTTTTTTTTTAATTCATTGATTTTTAGAGAGGCAGGGAGAGGGAGAGAGAAACATTGATGGGAGTGCAAAACCTTTGGCTGCCTATGCCCCCTACCGGGAGATCCATTCCCCAACACAGGCATATGCCCTAACTGGGAATCCAAACAGTTACCTTTCAGTGCACAGGGCCAGCTCAACCAACCGAGTCTCAGGGGGCGAGAGCAGAGGTTGGGGGGGGACTCGAAGTGGAGGACTTGGAGGTTTTTTGGGAGCAGGAATGTGACATGTGAAAAGCACCATTTAGTGAACTATCACCAACAGTCAAACCTGAACTGGTGTGATAACAAAGGGAAAGACAGAGAGGCATGTATTGGACCCGGGAACCACCCGCAGTCTCTGGTGAAGGTATGTGTGGGGCATGGGTGTCTTTGGGCGGTATCTTTGGAGGGAAAGAATGGTGCCCAAAGTTAGAGACGAGAGAATAATTTTTGTCAGGAACCAAAGGAAGAACAAGTCTGGGGGTTGTTGTGGGGTCGAACCCTGGGTTCAAAATAAGACCACCGGAGGCTGATAATTTATTAAAAAAGCAAACAAGGACTTATTGAACAGGCCAGGTCAGCCATAAGAGTACCACACCCAGGCGGACACTACAGGACTGCGAGGCTTTAGGGACAGGTAGTTATTTTTAAAGGTTCTGAGAAGGAAAAACCCCCATTCTACAACAAACTGTTGTTTAGAATTTTCTGCTGTTCTTCCTAGATAAAATGTTGCTTTCTAGTTTGCTTTAGCCCGTTTGAAGAATGATGAAGATAAACTTAGCTGTCAGACCTTGCAGGCCAGAGACCAGATATACCCACAGTCTCAATACCATGCCAGGTGCATTTTTTAAATTGGATAGAACAGCATTGTTTTCGAGGACAGCATCGAGATAACCACTAAGTGTACATAGGGCTGGCTCTTTAATGAAAAAGAAAGTTCTGCCTGTAACCTTGCCCAGAACTTGAAATCATCCTCCCTATGCCCACTGCGCGATGAACAAAGCAAGTAAGTGAAGGTCGAAGTCAGAATAGTAGGGTTAAAATTCAAACAGTAGTTTTTACCCAAGTATGATTGCTACCATATTTCAGGGGTAAGGTGACTTTGCATTTTGGAGGAAGAGAATGCCATTGAAGGCCTCTGTCCTCGCTGAGGCACAAAGCGCTGGGAGAAGCCGCGGGAGAGCTTCCTTAGCCAGAGGCCAGGCCCAGGTCAATGCAGATGAGAGCACGTGGCAACTCCAGACTGGATCCCGGGGGCCTGGGACCTTTACCTCCAGCGATTGCTTCCTCCGGGGTCATTCGCGGAGCAGAGACCCAAGTGGGTGCCGCTCCTGCCTCGGGATCCAGAGGAGACCTGGGGAGAACACCCCACCCGCCTCGGGAGTCCCCGGTGGCAGCGGCGGGGCTGAGACACCCCCGGCCAGCAGCGTGCGCGCGCGAGGCCGCCGGGAAGGAGGGAGCGCGCGCCCTTCACGTGACCCGGGCGGCGGGCGGCGACGACGCACACGACGCGCCTCTCACGTGGTCCGTCTGCGGCCCCGTCGCCTGCGGAGGCGGGCGCGGGCGCGTCCCTGTGGCGGGTCACCCGGCGGAGTTGGTCGCACAATTATGAAAGACTCGGCTTCTGCTGCTAGCGCCCGAGCTGAGTCCGTGCTGAGCTTTCCCTGGGCTGTCCCTGCCCGGCGGCCTCAGCTGCCGACTCCGGAGACGCTTCCCGATAGATGGCTACAGGCCGCGGAGGAGGAGGAGGAGGAGTTGCTGCCCTTCCGGAGTCCGCCCCGTGAGGAGAATGGTACTGCTGCTCCCTCGCAGTCCGTCCCCGGCGGCGGGGACATGGCCTTGGGGGCTGCGGGCAGGGAGCGGGGAGGATTTCCCCGGCCAGGGTCCGGGGGTGCGCGGAGCCGCGCTGGCTGGGGTGGAGGACCCCCCGAATTGCCTGGAGACTTCCGGACTGGCCCTGGCCGCTCGGGAGTGCGGTTCACTCCGGGGTGCGGGGCAGGACGCCGGGAGCAAACCTGGTGCCACAGCCCGATCGCGGGATCGCGGAGCCGGAGCTCCGGCGGCGAGGGACCCGCGCGCCGGCGGGGAGGCGCGCGCTGGGGGGGGACCTGGCGCCGCCGCGCTCTGCCTCCGAGCTCGGCATCTCCCGGGAGCGCGGTCCTCCTGGCGCCGGGAGCCGGCAGATAAGGGAGCCAAGCGCTCTGCTCAAGTTCTGCCCGGGGAGGGAGGGAGGGCTGCGGAGGAACACAAAAGGGAGAGAGAGGACACGAGGTTGGAGCTGTGCCTTGTTTGCTGCGCAGCGGGCACTCCACAGGTACATTTTCCTTTGGGAGCCAGCAGGGAGGGATTGGACGATACTGACGGTAGCTCTGGCTTGGGATTTTCTCGAGCAAGAGCTAAGGACTCTGTTGGCGCACTCCTGTAGGTCCCGAGGCGATGTGTTGTCTGGATTTATGTCGAACTACCGCATCCGGTGCCTTAGAGAAGGTTTGGTCGCGTTTTAAACCGAAGGTGCAGACTGGAGAGAGGGATGCGGTGCAATGCAGGTCTTGATAGAGCTTTTTTTTTGTTTTTGTTTTTTGTTAAGGTCAGGAATCAAATTCCTCTACAGAAAGTCATTTGGATCAAGGGTTTCAAGAGGGAGGTATGGATTTCTGGTCAGCACTTGAACTTGATAGGTTTCAGGCAAACGGCACTCTCTGCCGGAGCCCGGCAGGTTTACTGTAGAAGCCAATTCAAGTGCCATACTTGGAGTAAAAAGCGCACCTTCCACTATTTTCCACCTTCTCTGGAAACGTAGTCAATAAAAACGCCATTTTACCTTCTTGCTAATTTTAAAAAGAAGGGTATTTTAAGTTCCTTTACCGTCGCTAATTTTTTTTTTTTTCTTAAATGGATTTTAAGGGAACCTATTTTGGGGGGGAAAGTTGAATCAAAGTGCTTTTGGTTTTAAGGGGAAAAAAAGCAAACCATTAATACTGACTCTTAAGTGATGTGTTTAGGTTTCTCTTTTTAGATGGTAAATAGCATATACTTGAACATACCCATTCAGTATTTTGAAAATTTTTTTTAGATACATTAGAAAATGGAAATAAGATGATTCATCCTCTTCAAAGTCGTTGCTTCCTAATATGTGTGTGTGTGTTTTTTTTTTAAAGCAACCACACCTCTTTGTTTCTAGTGACTTTCTACTGAAAGTCTATAATTCCTTAGTCTTACTTAGTTCAGGTGTTCTTAACAAAGCCAGCCTCAAAGTGTCATGCTATCTACATATTTGGAAACCTAGCCTGCAAACATCAAACATTAAAGTGTGGTCTGAGTTTCTTAGGTTCCTATTTGCTTATGTCCCAATGTTCTTAAAAATAATAGATGTGATCCCCAAACATACATTGAGCACTGTACGTGGCACATACTAAGAACTCAGTATTTAGTTGTATACGCTGTTAGCAATCCTGTTGATTCTACAGGGATAAATTCTTAACTTTAAAATTTAAAATTGGGTCTGATTTTGTTTACATTGAGTCCTGACTGCTATTGAGTTATGATTTTATTTCAATTAAATTATAGTGAAACCTAAAACTGAGGAGGATCTCCAATAATGATAAAATGTTGAGTCACCTCAACTTTTAGGTCAACACTGTGTAATTCGTATTGTAAACGCTTATGTAAGGCATTTCTTCTGGTAATTAGTTTCTTTTTGGAACTAAAAGAAAGTATACAAAAATATTCTCCATTTTTAAAAAGCTGTAAAATGAATCAGTCAACTGCCCCCCCAAAACAAAAACAAAAACAAAAACAAACCAATATAAAACAGCCCAACTGGTGTGGTTCAGTGGTTGAGAGTCCACCTATGCATGAATTAGAAGTCATGATTCGATTCTTAGGGCATGTGCCTGGATTTTGGGCTCGATCCCCGGAAAGGGAGGATGGATGCATTAGGCAACTGATGGATGATTTTCATCACTGGTGTTTCTCTCCCCTTTCCCCTCTCCCTTCCTCTCTGAAATTGATAAAAATACATTAAAAAAAAAAAAGTAAAACAAATTATCAATAAATACAAGTTTAAAACTAGAAGAAGATCAAACTTAAAATTATGTGCTAAATTATCTACTATATCTGCTGGAAATATTTGTGTAATTCATCTGGCAATCACTTAGTTTTTAATATATTCCAAGCACTGTGATAGGCCCTGGAATGGCAAAGATGTGTTAGACAAGTTTCTCTCTTTAAAACAGCTTACATTCTAGTTATTTATAAAAGATCTACTTGTCATCAATGGAAGATGCATATATTACTTCATAAAACAAACATTTAGTGTCTACTATGTTGCAGGCACTGTGATACTTAATAGTCATCATAAATATACCCCCAAAACAAGAATTCTATTGCATAGATTCTGTGAAAGTATAGGGTAATCATGGAGGGGAAAAAGGGATGTCAGTAGGTTTGCAAAAATGTTGATAGTAGAGATGAATCTACCAGAGTTAGTAGGAGTTGGAATTAACCTAGCGTTAGAAGGGGCATTAAATTGGTGACTTTACTCTAAGGCAGTGTTTCCCAAACTTGTACCCCTTGTACCCCTTCTATAATTTTCGTAAAGCCGAGTACCCTTAATACTCATGAAAACATAGAATTAGGTGCAGCTAAGCACGGTGCAGTGCATATCCCCACCAAACTCCGGTGCAACGCGTACCCCCACCAGACTCTTCCTGTACCCCTGGGGGTACGCGTATCACACTTTGGGAAACACTGCTCTAAGGGAACTGAGCCTTAGAAGAGAAGAGCATCCTTAGTTTATTCTGGAAACGACTATCTAGGTACTGTACACGCATACCTTGGAGATATTTTGGGTTTCTGTTCCAGACCACCATAATAGTATTGCAATACAGCAAGTAACACAAATATTTTGGTTTCCCAGTGCATATAGAAGTTATGTTTATACTATACTGTAGTCTATTGAGTGTGTGATAGCATTACATACTTTAATTTAAAAATACTTGATTGCTAAAAATGCAAAAATCATCTTACAGTCTTGCTAGTGAAGGGTCTTACCTTCAATTTGTCAAACAAACAAACAAACAAACAAAGCAGTGTTTGCTAAGAGTAGTAAGGCAAGTATAATGAATTAGCTATGCCTGTACATATTTTAAAATGAGTGGAATATGGGATGATATAGGGTACTGATGAGAGTGCTATTAAAATAGGCAAGGACCAGATAGATTTTTGAGGGCAATGTATGTAATGCAAAGGAGTTTGGATTTTATTCTGAAGATACTGGGGGGCCACTTAAGAAAACAATACACAGGATGAATTGGCATGCTAAAATTGAAGAGAGAGACCCAAAAATAGGCTATAGCAAAACTGACCAAAATATTGAGAGCTTGAAATGAAGAAAAAACAAACAAAAAAAAACAGGTTGAAATGTTTAGGAGTTAGAATATTCAGAATTTGGTTACTTTTGTGGAGTAATGTGTGTGCCTGTGTGTGTTGGCAAATGTCAATAATGACCAGACAGAAAATGAAAACATGTAATAGTTGAAGTCATAATTTAATATGTGCAAATGTAAACTAAGGCAATACTTAAAATGTGCATTTTTGCCCTACCTGGTTTGGCTCAGTGGATAGAGCATTGGCCTGCAGACTGAAAGTCCCGGGTTCGATTCCAGTCAAGGACATGTACCTTGATTGCGGGCACATCCCCAGTTGAAGGTGTGCAAGAGGCAGCTAATCGATGATTCTCTCTCAACGATGTTTCTAACTCTCTATCCTTCTACCTTCCTCTCTGTAAAAAAATCAATAAAATATATATTTTTAAAATGTGCATTTTATTCTATTTATTTAAAAATATATATTCTTATTGATTTCAGAGAGGAAGGGAGAAAGTGAGAGAGACAGAACATCAATGATGAAAGAGAATCATTGATTGGCTGCCTTCTGTACACACCTTACTAGAGAATTGAGCCTGCAACCTGGGTATGTGCTCTTGACCAGAATCGAACCTGGAACCCCTCAGTCTACAGGCTGATGCTCTATCTACTGAGCCAAACTAGCTAGGGCTAAAATGTGCATTTTAGCTTTTTTATATATATATATATATTATTGATTTTTATAGAAAGGAAGGGAGAGGGATAGAGAGTTAGAAACTTAACAAGAGAGAAACATCGATCAGCTGCCTTCTGCACATCCCCTGTTGGGGATGTGCCTGCAACCGAGGTAAATGCCCTTGACCAGAATCAATCCTGGGACCTCTCAGTCCACAGGCCGGTGCTCTATCCACTAAGCCAAACCAATTAGGGCGCATTTTAGCTTTTGACTTTTAAGTAAAGATCTATTGAATCAAGCACCTGCAAAGTTTGTGTGAGAATTCTACTAATGATATATATTTATAATATTTTATTGATTTTTTTTTACATAGAGGAAGGGAGAGAGATAGAGAGTTAGAAATATCAATAAGAGAGAAACATTGATCAACTGCCTCCTGCACACTCCCCACTGTGGATGTGCCCATAGCCAAGGTACATGCCCTTGACCGGAATCAAACCTGGGATCTTTCAGTCCACAGACCGATGCTCTATCCACTGAGCCAAACCGATTTCGGCTAATGATAGAAATTTTTGATCTAGTGCTATGATCTTCTCTTTCTGTAACATTCTAATATAGGAGATTTCAAATATACAAAGATAAAATAGTAAAGTTAATCACCATATACCCATGATCAGTTTCAACAGTTGGAAACATGAATTTTGTTTTTTCTATTATCCTTCCCACTTCTCCTTAACTGGATATAGTAAT